ACTGTGTACCAGTTTAACGTTGAATATTATTTATGATTTTAACTTTATACACAAGTGCCAAAATACTATAATTATTATTTTGATGTCATAATTAACCACATTGTAACCCCAAAAATCCTGTTCCAAAAAATATTACTTATTCACTTCCAAAACGAAATATTTCTTTATTCTTTGATTAATATATTAATAAAATTAGATAACCACAAACGAAGCTTCATTAATTCAATTTTTAACACAATGATTTATCACATGTTTTTCACAACCGTAAAGAATGATACAACAGGACACACACCTTGGATTAGGGAATTACTTTCATTGCTGATTTTAATGATAATTTTAACATGAAGTTATTTCTGAATCTTGAATATGAAACTCTCTGACATTATCTAAAATGGAGAAAAACCGTTTGGTAAGTAATAAACGGAGACATACAAGAATACATGTCGAGATGGAGTACGTGATGCCAAACTATCACGAGATTTGTTAAGACTGTAGCAGCACGACTACTTACTCCATTTAAACTCGTAGAAATCGTAGTAATCATCGTCGACCAAGTTAGGCCTACCATTCCTGTGACCTTCGTTGCTACTGAATCGGCACATCTGATAACGCGAGCTGAACTCCACTGACCAACAGTCGCGGCCATAACGCCGCATACACTCGTCCAGACACTCTCGGAAGGAAAAGGCTTTGCTCTCGGCCTCGTGTGATCCAGCTAACCGTTTCCTTTGGTAGCACTCGTACGAGGCGTTGTTCAAGAGGTTGTCTAGGGACGAGAGTTTGGCACAAGTTCAAACAAAGTTGGTTTTTAATTTTTAAAAGAACTTACTTAGTCTTATCTTTTTTTTTTCTTCTTAAAACTGTAGTTGTTGTTTTTCATTGCATATATTATAAATTACACCCGATAAAAATGTTTTTTCGTTTAGCTTAAGACTGATATTAATTATTTGAGACTGTCAAGTTATTTCATTCTCGTTTTCAGAGAGATGACACTAATTTCAAGAGCTCCGCTAAGCCATAACAAACTCTAATATTAAAAGAAATAATCATTTCTGAAATATCTTACAAGGAACAACAAGGTGTTCTCCAAAACTATGTTTGACCACCACTGTCTCCAGACCTTTCACTTCCTGAGCTCGTGTAGAATGAAATCAACATATATTTGAATGTTATGACGACGGCATACAGTGTGATACCAATATATCCCTACAACCTAACGCCTTAAAATCTTACTGAATGACAGAATGCCAAATATATATTGGAAGCTGTCATTAAGGTCAAAGTTGATTATTTTGGAAGCTGTCGTTAAGGTCAAAGTTGATTATTTTGGAAGCTGTTAATAAGGTCAAAGTTGATTATTTTGGAAGCTGTCGTTAAGGTCAAAGTTGATTATTTTGGAAGCTGTTAATAAAGTCAAATTGATTATTTTGGAAGCTGTCATTAAGGTCAAAGTTGATTATTTTGATGAATCTATTGTTTAAGAGAAAATCGTAATTAGATTATGATAACATTTGTACTTGTTCGCTACATGCTGCTTTGGGCAAGACGTGTTACCCCACTTGTTCCATTTGTATGATGGGTACCAGCTGGGGGGTTAACCAGTAATACACTGGCATCCCGTCCAGGGGAAAATTTCACCATTCTTATCCGCTTAATGCCAATAAAACAGGAGTTCCGAACCAGCTCCTAGGTGCCATCTCAGCATAGGAAGGGGTTTAACCTTTAATTATATGATAATTCAGTTTTCTTACTACTGTTATAACCAATAACTTGTAGTATCATTATCTTTATTTTCATTGGATCTGCAGTTATGGGTCTTCTTCCAAATATATGAACGATAATGAAGTAAAACTACTTTCAACAAACATCTTATCATATACAGGTCTGCAATACGTTATCCTATCATCTGGAACACAAGTGCTACTTTGAAGTAAAAATAAATGTATTTCTGTGTGGATATTTTAGTATGTTAACCCTTCATCTTGATTGGTTGAGTACACACATGATGTGCAATAAGTTTCTGATTAGACACTAAATGTCTTGGGCTAGGTACTATTTACCTAAAGGTTTTGAAGGAGGTTAAGAATTGAATATGTGAGCCACTTACTACTATTTTTTGTAAGTTTTTGAATAACGGGCAGATGACAATTGATTGGAAGTTAGCTAATGCTACTTCTCTTTTTCAAGGGAAATGATAAAAATTGTCTCATTAACTATAGGCCTATTAATCTTATATCAGTAGTGGGAAAAGTTTTTGAAAGTCTGATAAAAGATGGTTTACAAAGTCGTTTAAAATTTTGCTGGATAGACAACATGATTTCATTGGGAGAAAGTCTTGTCTAACTAATTTTTTGACATTCTTTGAAGAGGTTACTGCTTATGCAGATGAGGGTAAGGGTGTAGATTTGGTGAATCTGGATTTTCAGAAAGCATTTGGCAAAGTATCACATGAAAGGTTTGTTTAAAAAGTTATCTCTGCAGATGTGGAAGAGAAGTTGGCTCATTGAATAGAAAACTGGCCAGACGGAAGAAAGCAAAGGGTTGTTATAAATGGAGTTCAGTCAAACTGGATTAATGTCATGAGTGAGGTACCTTAGGGTTTAGTAATAGGGCTTTTGCTCTTTTAAATTTATATCAATGGCACAGATAAAGGAATGGTCAACAGATTATTTAAATTTTGCTTATGACATTAGTTTTGGGTGTTGCTGGCTGTCAGAATTATGCTACTCTTTTACAAAAGGATTTGGATTACTTGGTGAGCTGGGTGAATAAATGACATCTAATTATAATAAGTACAAAGTAATGCATGTGGGATATCACAATTGGAATTATAAATATAATTATGATGGGAATAACCTTAACAGTATTATGGAAGAACAAAGATCTTGGTGTTCTGGTTCATCAGTTTATTAAGTCATCCAAGTAATGTGTTGTTGCTAGTGTTAGGGCAAATAGGATTTTAGGTTGTATCTACAGAAGTACTTGATACACGTCTAAAGAGGTTTTATTTTCATTGTATAGGTGACTGGTTAGGCTTCAATTGCAGCATTGTGTTCAGTCTTGGGCTCCTTACTTTGGAAAGGACATTGAATTGTTATAAAAGGTTCAGAGGAAAGCTACTAGGATGACATCTATGGTGGAAAGGTTGTCATACGAGGATAGGTTAAGACCTTTAAACTTGTTTTTTCTTAAAAAAGAAGAGTTAGAGGGGATCTGATTGAGATTGTTAAGGGAATTGATAGTGTTAATGCATCACCTTTATTTGTATTTAATGGTAAAGTGGTAAGACTAAGGGACAGAAATATAGATTTGGGCTGGGAAGGAGTCATCTTCAACTAAGATAGCTATATTTTTCTAAGAATGGGTTGCCTTCAGATGTAGTAGATGCAGCTAATTTAAGGGAAGGCTTGTTAAATATTTGAATGATTGTTTGTTTGTAATTAAGCACAAAGCTACACAATGGGCTATCTGTACTCTGTCCACCACGGGTATCGAAACTCGGATTCTAGCGTTTTAAGTCCGCAGACATACCGCTGGGCCACTGGGGGGGGGGGCAATATTTGAACGATAAGGGCTGGCTTTGAGGTTTTTAAGTGTTTAGTTTCATTGAGTGTATAGACGACATAGATGGACAAAATGATCCTTTGGTGTTGTTTAATGTTGTGTTATGTTAAATTACCACATCCGGGTTTCATTTGCCATTACAGTGACACAAATAACAAACAAATAGGAGATTTAAAATATGGATCTGAAAATGGTTGTTATTGTGTTAACCACAGCTTCCGCTGAAAAGTCGTCTCACTATGATAACAACAAGTTTAGTCAAGAGTATAATGTGATTTCATGAAACTGCTCCACCTGGTGTCGTCTCAGTTTAATAACAACAGGTTTAGTCAAGAGTATAATATGACTTCATGAAACTGATCTACCTAGTGTCGTCTCAGTATAATAACAAAATATTTAGTCA